TCTATTGGGGGCGGCGAGGGCGAGGAGCGCGGGTTGGCAGTCGGTGAAGACGTCGACGTCTGTCAGCCGAGGCGTGCCCATGATGATATCGAAGGCGAGGATGGCGCCGACGACCTCCGACTCGAACACGGTGTGGTCGCATTCGTCGTCGAGGTGCTTCGTCCTGTACGCGCCTTCGCCGCCGCTCGCCCAGGAAACCGCCGCCACTCCAACTCCGCCTTGTACCCCGACCTGAAATCCGTGTGTATGCAGCATCCGCCGCGCCTGACCACCTCCTCCATCTCCGTCCTCGGCTGGTCCTTCGTCGCTGCAAGCCTTGTCGCAAGGACACTCGGGGGCGCGAGCTCGACAGGGAGATGGGGTCGATGACCGAGCTCGAAAACGTCACCAGGGCACATGTCCGTCCTCGGACACACCACAATATGCCGAGTAGCCCACCCGTCAGTAGGAATGTGGAGTTCTGAGGACGTAAGCTAGGTTTTTTTTGCACACACAAAAAAGGGCTTACCGTGTCGAAGGCATTCATGACGCGGTCTAGCACGAAATGGATAACCCAATGCGGCGGAAAACTGGTACCACTCAGCGCCGACGAAGTGGTCCAGTAAAGGACAAACCAAACGATGAAGAGCGATAAACGGTACGATGCAGCTTGGCGCCACGAAGGATTGACGTGAATCGCGCCTGCAACGGCCTGTTAGCAATGTGAAGGGCTATGAAGAACGAGCATACGAGAGGTGACGTAGTAGACGAGCGCCCCGCTTTCACGACTGCTGTGAGCACCAGACTGGAGCCAGGGTAGGATGTCATAGTGAGCCGCTCAGCATGATACCAGCAGTCGAAACCTTCATCGGTGGACCAGCACCGTGGAACTGAGCTTCTCGGATCGGAAGCCTCGAGCGGCTAGAAGAAATTAGCGCATTGCTATAAAAGAAATGGCGCAAGTGCGGACCATGAGTACAGCTCGCAAGGCCCGACCGTCGGGAACGCGACACTGACCGAGTAACTAACGATCGGGGGGCCGAAATGTTTCCGAGGGCACGCATCGCATCGGTCGACAAGGGCCGTGAGACTGAGCTTCACGAGGTCACGGATCGCTCAAGCAGCTAAAACAAGTTGGTGGATGACTGCAAAAGAGAGTGCGCATACGCGTACCATGAGTACAGCTTGCGAATGCCTGACCACCTCCCACTCCCGCCCATTTCATCGTCGTCTTCACCATCGCCGTCCTTGAGTTATTCTCCGGCTTGTGGAATCCATTCAATAACAAGTACTGCCAGACGGTTGAAAGCAGCTCACAAAGTGACCAAAGATGTAGAGGAAGCCCGCAGGAACGAGGAAACACTGCGAGGAGGTGGAGTGCAGGTGGAAAAGTCGGATCAAGATACTTCTCAAGCACGCCATAATGTGCCGAGGATGTCCAGCGGGGGCAAAGGTCGATACGTCGTCAAGCACACCATAATGTACCGATAATTTTTCCGGGGCAGTGACGCTGGTCAGGCTGAACGATGAAATGAGCGCTGGAACAAATCCTCAGCCGATACAGACTTACCTCCGGAAAGCCACAACCGACTCCATCGATTTTGGCGAGGTGAAAAGTCGCTCAAGCACCGTAATGTTTTCCACGCACACCATAATGTGCCGAGTTACTGAATGTCCAGCGGGCGGGGCAAAAGCGTCAAGCACACCATAATGTACCGAATATTTCCCTGGCAGCGAGGCTGATGAGCGCAGGAACATATCCCCAGCCGATACAGACTCACCTTGGGAAAGCTACAACCGATTCTATCGGATTTGACGATGAAAAGTCGCTCAAGCAGACCATAATATTCCCTGGGAGTATCCAGTTGTCAAGCTAAACGCTGATCAGCACTGGAAGATATCCCCAGCCGATAAAGACTGACCTCGGACCGCGTCCATTTGATCTCCAGCGAGGTATAAAGTCGTTATGTACTCAAGCACACCATAATGCGCCAAGTGGGAGTGTCCGGCTGGCAGGGTATCTCGTCAAACACACCACAATGTGTCGAGGAATTCGCCAAGTTTGCGCGTTGCCGTGGTGGAAGACGGAGCGACAGATGCTTTGCTAGCGCGACTTCAGTAATAGATACTCCCAGATAATTGAAAGCGGCTCACAAAGTGACCAAAAATGTAGAGGAACCCGGCAGAAACGAGAAAACGCCGCGAGAAGGTGGAGTGCAGGTGAAAAAGCGGACCAAGGTGCCAGCCATGTCCTCAAGCACACCATAATGTGCCGAGTAAATCGAATGTCCAGCCGGCGAAGCAAAGGTCGGTACGTCGTCAAGCACACCATAATGTACCGATAATTTTTCCGGGGCAGTGACGCTGGTCAGGCTGAACGATGAAATGAGCGCTGGAACAAATCCTCAGCCGATACAGACTTACCTCCGGAAAGCCACAACCGACTCCATCGATTTTGGCGAGGTGAAAAGTCGCTCAAGCACCGTAATGTTTTCTGGGAGTGTCCAGCTCGTTAAGCTAAACGATGGTGAGCACTGGAACATATCTACAGCCGATAAAGACTTACCTCGGGCAGGTAGCTACCGCGTCCATTTGATCTCCAGCAAGGTATAAAATTCTTATTATGTACTAAAGCACATCATAATGTGCCAAGTGGGAGTGTCCAGCTGGCAGGGTATCTCGTCAAGCACACCACAATGTGCCGAGGAATCTGTCCAGTTCGTGCATCATCGAGGTGGAAGATAAAGCACGCAGATGCTTTGTCAGCGCGTCTTCGCGGAGGCTTCTGCCATGCGCGGCCAAACAATGCGGACTAATACTTACTAAGTACGGCGCCGTGCACATTCAATCAACATTCAATCTTGATTCAATCAACATTCAATGCACATTTCAACTTTCTTCACCGGCCGTTCCGCGCTGGGACCTTGTGTCAGAGGTTCCGCGTACAGTGGAGTTGTACAGGTCGAAAGCCGTGTGCCCCTCCAAGTCCTTGAGCGACACGTCGATATCGGACCGTTGCAGCAGCAAAAGCCTGTTATCGCCGCGTCAATATCTCCAGGTCGGACGATCGAAGTAACTGACGCTGCTGCCAGGTTGCCATTATACAACGCACGGTGGAGTGCCGTCCAGTGGCCCTCAAGGTCCGAGAGGTTGACGTTGACCATGGGGTGTTTCAGCAGCGCCACAGCGGCTGAAAAGCCTTCTAAAGGATTAGGCTTTGAACCACTCTCCTGAAAACGGGCGCTCTGGTAGCGGGATATGTAGGCTAGCAGCCAGCGGAGAAGTTGCGGTTGTGAGAAAGCTAAACAATCCTAATGCGAGCTGAAAACCACAGTTTGGAAAAACTTCGTTTTAGACTTACTTGTATGATCTTCAGGAAAATAGCCATCACGAAGGGGCCGCCGTACGCCAGGAAGAGAGAGGTCCAGACTCCATGTTTCATCAGATATTTTTCTAGCTTATTCCCGAGATTCTCTGATTCGTCACTTGGGACCAAAGAGGGAAGGTCCTCTTCGGTAATGAACTGCTCCCTTGGCCATAAGAGAAGTCATCCATGAGAATGACTAGAATGAAATGCAGTATCCGTTAGACAGCCTGAGCGGCCAAGTTGATTACACATACCCATCTACTGAATATATTCTGTGGGATAAGAAAGATTGAATCAGTTTCGAGATGGCTTGCATGGCTTTCGGGTTTACCGCAGTAGTTACTGGGCTCTCGAGGTCGGATTTTTCATCACGAGGCAGCCCAATCTCGGGCCCAAAACACTCCAAGGAGAACGATGCAAGTCCCAACAATGCTACTCCGCCCTTGAGTTCTAGTAGCAGGCGCGAATAGTCGTCTCTCATAAGGAAGGAGCGGGCCCTTGGGGCAAAGCGACGAGCAGTTGCTTCTGCTATCCCTGATGGATTCCCTGATGTCGACATTCTTCTGTCCGCGTCCATGCCTTTGACCGATTTTTTCTCCAGGCAGCATCAAACTCGGCAAAGGTGAACAGCGTATGCTCGTCTGCCTTGAAAAGAAAACTAAGTCATGTTCTTTAGGGTCACCGGAATATATTTCAAATCACTCTATTCTCCTTCTCCAGACGTCAAGGATGTTGCGTATGACGGTCTGAAAATGGTTTTGACCCATCAAAGCCGACTGCCGAGGGAGCTTCTGCAAACGGGCCTTCGGCCCATCCTTATGAACCTTGCGGACCCGAAACGCCTTTCGGTTCCCGGTCTCGAAGGTCTCGCTCGCTTGCTTGAGCTCTTAACCAACTATTTCAAGGTGGAGATCGGTCATAAACTGTTGGATCACTTTCGCATCGTTGCGGATCCGCAGCTTCTGAGCAACGCTTCGAAACTCACTTTGGGCGAGAATGAAGGGATTACCAAGTTGGTTCGACTCGCTCACATATTCCACCTACTCCCTCTGCGGCCAACATCTTCCTGGAGAATCTGGTGAACCTGATCGTTCAGACAGAATCACAGATGCATTTCTCTGGCAAGACCCCTTTCTCCGAGCCGCTGGCCCGATATCTGAATAGATACCCTGGCGAAGGAATCGATTTCTTCCTTCGGCATCTTGCCCTGCCGTCGCATTTGCGGACATTGAGAAGCATACTACAAGCCAAACTTGCCCCAAATCTTGAACGAGAACTTGCATCACGAGCATTGTCGCTGGTCACCTTTTTAAGGGGAGAGGATCTTCCCCAGATCATTCCATCCCTTTCCCTTGTTTCCGACCTCGTGGAACTGATACCTTCCTGGATATCCGAGAACGGTTACGTCGTCGATGCCCTGCTTGATCTATGGCATTCGGAAACTGTTCAATCTGAGCAAAGTGCAGAGATAGTGCCACAACTCATCGAGCGACATAACATCATGCTCTCTAACACACCCTCTGGTGTGTGGTGTAGTGTAGTACTTCCATAGAGGCTGGATGTACTGTCGCTAACGTTCCGAAAGGGGACCTAGCTGAGAATATCATTATCCTGTGTTATCCATACACTCCCGTCTGTTACCCTCTGTTAACATGGCTGCTTGGTGTAATGGTACGACACGGTGTCCATATTGCCATCAATATATCAATCTCACCGTGATGTGGGTTCGACTCCCACAGTAGCCCTAGCGCCCGGATGTCTTTTTGACAGCTATTTCCGAAAAGATTGAGACGATGATTTTTTTACCAAAATGCACAACGTAGAAATAACTTAATAAATTTTACGAATCTATGTCGCAAGTCGCAAGTCCTGTACTGAGACTGTCAGACGCGTTATGATCCGGCCGAATGCATGCAGTCACGCTTCTTTCCCCATTAGGCAGGTACCAATGTTTCATCCACTTCACGACAGCGTGAGAGAATTCCCTTTTATAGTAATCACACGACCAAACAATAACATGGTCTAAAACCCGGAACACTACGTGTCCAGGCATACGACATTCAATCAACATTCAATATTCAATCTTGATTCAATCAACATTCAATGCACATTTCAACTTTCTTCACCGGCCGTTCCGCGCTGGGACCTTGTGTCGGCAATCCTATCCTATCCATCCTATCCTATCCTTCAAGTTCAGCTTGATATGCTCTGTTGCTATCCAATCCATCCCATATATGCGATTCATTCTCTCGCTGAATCATTCAAAGCAAGGAAATTATTCTACCGGAATTCCTTCAGAATATTCCAACGGGCCTCCGAGAGCTAAGCCTCAGGCCTCAGCCTCGCCGGTTCCTGCAAGATTCGAGGCAAGTTCTGTCTGCCTCGTTAAGCTTAACTTCTGCGCATCTCCCTCGTCTCCTCCAGCCTGCCCGAACTTCCTCACGCTCCCGACTTGCCATTTCGTTCTTCCATTCATTGTAATTGGGTCGGGCAGATTAACGCGATTAACGCGACGTAAAAGCCTTTACGCCAAATCGTTTGGGTGGTTGATGCAGACAGAGTGCAGACAGGCGCAAAGAACGATCACATGATTTGCTTCCGACTCCGTAACTGAACAAAGAGACTTGCGTCTTTCACCCGCAGCTCATTATCCCTTCATCCTCAAAGCCTCTCCAGTTCTTTTGTTCAGGCCCCCCGCACCTGCTAGGCCTCTTTCGCCGTTAACTCATCCAGACACGCTGTGTGTTTCAACGCCTAGCATGTCTTACTACCAGTGAGCCATATTCCACAAAATCTTGCAACCTTTCTGACCTCTTGTAAGCGACAAAAAAGCAAGGGCCTTGATCTCTATTCTTCTTGAAGGACCGGAAATGGATTTAGATTTGCGACTGGATTCCGACGTTAATGTCTTTGTGAAGAACACGGGTGTGGCACCTGGTGCGTCCTTGCGTTATGCATATTCTGTGTTCTCATATACTATCTAGTCTCTGTCGAGCTTCGGCCCCTCGTTCACGACATGGTTCTCCCCAGCCTCCTTCAGACAATTCCCAATGTAAACCGGTTAACCGCCTCGATAGACTTGGTGCGGCCCTCACATCAATATTCATGTCTTCATGCGCTAATTTTGAACACAGGCGAGCAATTCATGGGGTGTCGTGATTCAACGCAGGTCGATCGACTCGTCGAGCCTGTTCAAGCTTTCCCTCGTTTTCAACTGCTCTCAAGATATCAACGATTTCCTTTCTGCATTGGCCTTTTGCGCCATTAGTGCCCTCCCCACCGAACTTATGGCCGAAATTTTTTGCCATTATTCCCGTGGATTATCCCACACTCGTGCCTGCGCTTTCCATTCGTACGTTCGCGATTTGGCACCCTTGTTTCTTCCTGGTTGGGTCTGCACAGAATGGCGAGACATAGCTTCCCAAACAGTGCAATTGTGGGCCAATCCCTACTTCTCACTTACTTCGTCGTTTTTTCGTCAGGACTTGGGGGACGACATCTCAGGCAACGGAGTGGATAACCACACCCTGCAAATGGTGAAGTGGTTGGAACGTACCAATGGTTTTGAAAATGTCAATTTAACGCTTCATGTGAGCCCCGATCACGGCGCCCACTCCGTTCTGCGACGGCTCGCTTCGCCCCTGCGTCATGTTCGCCACCTCCATCTCAAATTGTCGCAGTCACAATTACACCCTCTCCTCGACGAACTGGGCCCCACCTTTCCTCAACTGGAGCATCTTCACCTGATGCTGCACGACTTGAACTTGACCGGGTGGGCATTCACGAGCAGCCTGAAGAAGAAAGCTCCCAATCTCCGCTCCCTCCTTCTTTTACCCCCGTCCGGACATGCCCAGTCCTTTACAGTCACTGCACCTCCCACAGAATTATTTGCATCGTTCCCACTTGGCCAACTCACCAATATCGCGATTCACCATCCCATATCCACCTCCATCTGGCGCAACATGTTGCGCCAATGTACTTCTCTGTGTACCGGCCACTTTCAGATAATTGACGACTTCGGACGGGCAGATACTTTTGCACAGTGCACAACTTTCCCGAATCTCGTCTCACTGGATCTCAGGCTGGAACAAGGCGATCCTCGCATCCTCGATAATTTCCATCTCCCAGTTTTGCAATCTTTGGGTCTCAGGTTCTCCACTCGGAGAGGTTTTCTCCCAAAAATCCTTCGGGAACGGTCGACCCCACTCCGTTTTTTGATGATTGGGGACCCGATTCTCCCGGAATCCTTTTTGGACGTTCTTAGATTGCAGACGAAGCTCGAGAGATTGAGCTTTAACACGGCAGCAGACTTCGGGATGTATCATGAAGTCGTCAAGCAAGCATTCAATGAAGGTTGCGTTCAATATTTGCAGGTTATTACTGTCAAAATTCAGGACTTGATTTGGCGGGAGGATTTGGGGCAGAGTTTTCGAAGGAGTGCTCTTGAGTTTGCGCATATGGCCACCGCTGCTGGCCGGGAGCTTCGGGTTGCCCCAAACCGGCGCGCCACCAAGCTACTCGCGGGGATATTTGGGGTCCAATTTAAGATAGACCTCGTGGAAAAAACCACATGGGAAGATCTGAACATGGTTGATGCGGAGGGCAGAAGGTGGACAGAGGAGGTTTGTATTGTTACCGGAGGGATGATTGTGAAGCGTTGAAGCGTGGAGTCAAGGATCCATGTATAGTATCGACGATGGTCCAGCATTCCGCCACTTCCCTTTCCCGAAACGCAGCATCCCAATCCAATGGCTTTTCCACTTTCGCCCCCTGGTACTCAACAGAATCCATTCACGGATTCGCCAACCCCGCCGCCAGAAGCGTGCCCCCCTCATATATCATTCTGCACCGTCCCCTCCCTCGGCTTAGCACGGTCATAGGTTACTATCTGGCCCAAATACGAGCCCTCTTATATAGCCTGTTATTTCAAAACCATCTCTTGAATTTGTTCCATCAGTACCTCGAGGGAGAGAAGGAAAAAGGATAAAATGAAGTCAATCGAGTCAACATGGTCCTTTTTATTCAAACCCATTGAGGAACGTCTCTGCCTAGCTCTGGCTCTCAGTCCTTGGTACGCCAGAGCGGAAATTATCGCGCACGTCGGCGAATTCGTATGAGCACATCCAGCTCATCGGCGCTTTACCATGTGGCGATACAATATCCATCGACGTCGCCGAGTCGATGCTAGACGGCAAGCACACGCTTGAAGGATGGACAAGTAAACGATCGGGGTTATCATAACATTCCATTAAAATGCGAGCTAGAGCTCGAATTTGGTACTAAGTCATACCGGCAGGAAAATTGCAGCTGGGAACCTTTCCTTTCTTGCAGAAAGTCAATGAATCAGGCTTCAAGGTTTGTAATTAACCTCCTCGGCAACAACTACACTCTGGCTGGACAAATCAATCCAGACATACACGCATGAGAGCCAGAGCTGGAGAAGTCCACGGTACGGTTCCGTCTTCCTTGGGCCTGCATCAGGACGGGGCCAGACCTGAGCCATGTATGTTTTGCACGTCGGGCCCGCCTGCCGTTACGGCCTTCAAATTGAATACATATACAAGGACTACGTTAAGCAGGTTAAGCGTTCAAAATACGTCCGCAACATTGAGTACACAAACCTAAGAACCAGGGGCAGGAGATATCTATGTACTTGATTCAGTGATAGGCGGAATCAGGCCTGACATCCGTCTGTTTTGAGAAGATGACGGTCTTGAAGCGGACCTGCGGTTGTTAGCAGAGTACGTGGACTAAGGAGGGCCAGCCTACCTCGGGCAACCCCCATCCTAAACGTCGTCGTCTGATTCCGGCTCGCGCTCTGAGCGATTCGCATCCCCCACAGAACTCCCTCACCGCCATCTCCAAGACACACCAGCTGCACCGCGTCGGCGAGCGCTCCACCCCTCAAACCGACCAGGGAGCGTGAGGATTGACATAGAAGACCGGCTTCGCCCATCCCTAACTTATTGTTATCGCGGCGTGGGCGGAGGGCTGAATCTCAACTTCGTCGCCTGGCCGGAACGAGTGACGCTGCGCGATGAAATCAGCACGGGAACAGATCCCCAGCCGATACAGACTTACTTCAGCAGTCACGCCGCTGGGCGTGGTCAAGGAGGGGGAGAGTGCAATACACCGTCCACGTCGGCTACGCAATGCAATGAATTCTGACAAGGAGACACGTTCACTAATCCGGACCTCCGAAACTGGCTGAGACAACAAATTGGTATAGTTCAGCACCAGAAAGGAGTAGATGAACGAAAATTAAGGCTCACTTTACAATGGCGGACTTGGCAGAGGAACCAACTCCAGGGAACGGAGCGCGACGCCTTTCCGAGAAACCCCCGACCAACATGAACTTGGTAACTGACTGGTCGGGTGCCCAAGAGCTTTCCGAGGGCACGCGTCGAATCGGGTGACAAGGGCCTTGAAACTGAGCTTTCCGAGGTCACGGATCGCTTAAGCAGCTGAACCAGTTAGTGGATGACTGCAAAAGAGAGTGTGCATACATACGCGTACCATGAGTACAGCCTGTGAAAGCCTGACTGCCTCCCAGTCTCGCCCATTTCATCGTCGTCGCCACCACCGTCCTTGAGTTGTTCTCCGGCCTGTGGATGCCAGTCAGTAACAAGTACTCCCAAATAATTTGAAACGACTCACAAAGTGACCAAAAATGTAGAGGAAGCCCGCAGAAACGAGGAAACGCTGCCAGGAGGTGGAGCGCAGGTGAAAAGTCGGATCAAGATAC